GATCTTCATAAGTTGAATAATCATCATCTGGTGAATATTTAGGCAAGCTGGCGGGTTGAATATAATCTATTGAAAAAATAAAAATTGGTTTTAGAAGAACACAAATAATCCAATGAGTGAAGTGTAAATTAGTTGCTTTACTAACCATTAAATGTAATTGCCTCGGGTAATTTGATTAAAGAAATATCATTACGGATAGCTTCTGGATCCCACTCTTCATGTACAGTTACGTATTTCTTAGGCGTAAAAATGATTTGTTGTCCTGGTTCACTACGATCAAGACGGTTGTAAGCACCCAAATAAACATCGACACCAGTAGTACTAAAAAAAAGTAAATTAATTCCACAAGTTATGGTATATGAACTTCTTATAATAAACATTTCATTTACAGGCTATCGGTACAATGCGCAGCAGTTACTATATAACGATCTGAAATCAAAGTGCCACCACACCAAGCAGCGCCTCCTTCAACATAGAGTAATAAACCGGCCTGGTATGGAAATTGTTTGGGAACAGCCAAATTGCCATTAGTGATGCGTCCACTTGGAATATCATTAGAAGCTGGTAGTAATTCTTCTCTTGGATTTATATGTAAGGGCTTAACATTACTGAAACCCAAGGTGTTAGCTGAAACACCTGCAATAGCTAAAACTGTTAGAACAATAGCCGCCTTCATTGTGAAGAAACTGATTTCAATAACATATTATCGTAACGCTTTTATACTCTTAGCTTGCCAAGGCTTTGAATGATTTAAGCGGCTTATCTTTCGATTAAAGCAAACCAAAACGATAAAAATAAGAAAAGATTTCGGGTTCTGATTTTTTTTTTATTATTACAAACAAATCGCACCCAAATTAATCGGAGCTATTACTGATTATCTTTAAGTGACTTTATAGTTAATAAATTCAAACGCCGAGGAAGTAGGTGATTGCGTTATACAAAATGACATACCACCGATAACCACTTCTGTATTATTTACTATCACAATTCTTCCATTTAATATAAATAATTAAGATAAGAAAATTAATCGACGCAAAAAATTGATAAGACCTAAAGATGCAAGTTTTTAATTTGCTTTAATGAACTTATCAAAAATCTGCAATAATAGAAAGGGTTGAGTTCCAGAGGAAGTATTGTAGTATCTGTAAAATAATTTTAATCAAAATGGTAATGACAATTGTGGTAAATTAGAATTTCTATTTATAATGCAATTTGGACATAAATATTTATGACAATTAAATACTTTTTATTTCCTTTTTTTTTGATGTACTTAAAATATTTTGGACATAACGCACCCATCACACCTCCAGTTTAAAGAACAAAATGATACACTATTCAGTGACTGCAATGATATTTGGAGAATCAGTTGTAGGATCAATAATCACTTTCACTGTCCCAATTACTGCAATTTTGCTTTTTGAAAAAAAGAAAATTCGATTCTTGCATTTTGATATATTTACTTTACTACACTCTACATTTTCAATATATTATTTAACTTCTATTTTATATTCAATTTAGTAAATACTTAGTTTATTATAGCTTTTTCTCAAGTGAATTGGTAACTCTGCTAAAATTACCATCATCAATTGACGTTACCTACATCATAGCTTCTTCATACATCATAATAGATGGATCAATCTGCACCGTAATCAAAAAGTATCAAATGATTTTTTGCAAGCTTAACGATATTCCTTCATTCGACGACCCTGTTTGTTAAAACTCTTAAAATATCGACACAAAAAGTAAGAAATATCAGAGTGCTTGAAATAATTCTTGGACATTGAAGTCGTTATAGACTATTAAAGTGTTCAACTACAATACTTAAATCTTTCTAATATTCGTATTTTTCATTCATACATAATTACGAGTACGTCATAGATTTATTGATTCTCATTATATACATATCATATATATCTATGTATATATTTTATTTATGTAGAGTTAAGTTTGAGTTCCTATACGTTCTGTGTTAAAGTATTCACATTCTTTCATTTCTATAAGTGATTTAATCAATCCTTTTTATGAAATTATACTTTTATATATTCAGAGAAGGCATAAATCAGTCATTAAGGAATTGTTTTTAGTAGAAAACTCAATGAATATACCGAACCGTCGCAATAATTTGATCTTAACCTTAATCAGTCCACAAAATGTTTGTGGATGATTGGAACAAGCATTGATATTGTTGTATTGCACCCCCCTTGACCACTTTAAAATAAATTTTGATTGAATGATGATTTCTTTGAATGATAATTTAATTATTTCAAATACATTTTGGATATAAACTATCATCTTACATGTAATCAAAATTATAAATCGTCGGAACGATAAAATTGCTGAATGTTATTTCTAACGTTCATATTCCTTTTCGATGGTAAGTAGAACAATTCGCTTCATACCTTTTATGTGGTCATTGTCTTTAATTGTTCTTTGATAATAAACAATATCATAGTCGATTAATCAAAGCAAAGCAGTGAATCCAAATTCCACACTTTGAATTTTATCGTCAATGCCAATTAAAATTTTTGCCAATCATTGTCAATACATTGAGACATTCCGGCGATAACACTTAACACTTCATAGTAAGTTTTTCATTCATAAAAATGCCAAAATTTTTAGCTCAGATAAGAATTCATGAATGAATCCAAACCTACGCGCTTTGGCAATACAATTTTATGTTAAGATAACGACTGTCCTCTACAATCTTCCATCTGGTGTAGATAGTATGAACCGAACTGAAGATACTAATTATCAAGTTACCATTCACGTCATAGCTTATAGAAATACAAAGGTATATTCTTTTCAAAATTCTACTTCCGTTAGATTAAATCCAATCACATGGGTACGATCCGGTAACTGCGCTCAGAAGTATGCAGAAGTATTTTTATTTTCTTATTATAGCAAATATTGAAATATTAAAGAAAAACTAGAAAAATATTTGAATCGAATTTATTTTATTGAAATCTCAGAGTTTAGTACATTTAATAGGAAATTCCAGTGTATGACTTTATCCAATTCAAGTAACTGGTTAAACGTGTGAATGCAACTGGATAACCCAATTCACAACCTTTCTCCGCACCGAAAGATGTTAAGCCAATTTGTACTTTAGAAGAAGCCAAAACCAATGGACCGCCAGAATCTCCTTGGCAGGTAGATACTTTATTTGGTGTGGAACAGCAGATCTTTGAGGCGACAACACTAGCAGTGCCATAAGTAGCAGCACATTTTGTGTTGCTTATAACAACAAGGTCAGCCCATTGTAAATTAGTGGTGACTGTGTTAACCGCATCACTGGTACGTCCCCAACCGGAAGCAATAACGTTATCGCCAGTATATGTAGAATAGGTGCTAGCAATGGAAGGCAATTTCACTACTTGAATTTTACTGGAATAGGTAACTGATGGAATTTTAATCAAAGAAATATCATCGACTATGGTTTTGGAGTTGTAGCCAGTATGCACAATAATATCACTTGCATCTACATTGTAGCTTACTTCGGGAGAGGTTCGTACAGTGGCACCCAAGTATACTGTTACAGATTTGGCGCTAGAAGTGAAATGAAATTTTGTCATAATACAATAAATTTATAATAAATTAATTAACTTCTTACCTAATAGTGCAATGAGCAGCAGTCAAAACCCAATTCTTGCCTATTAGTGAGCCACCACACCATGATGAAGACAATGCACTCTTCTTAATAGACAAACCAACTTGGTAGGGAAATTGACCTGTTGTTGCAGTTTTACCGTTGGTAATTCGTCCATCAGGTCCATCAAGTACAGGCACTTCCACATCAAGGTGATGAATTTCATTTGATCTAAGATCAAATGCTGTGGCAGTGGCCAAAGCCAATACGAAAACTGCTAAGAATTTCATTGTTAACAACTGTTATCAAATACAGTACTGTCATTTGCTGTCTTTCGAGGCACCTTTTATACGGCCTGAGGTACTATGTACTTATGGGCTATCTAGTCAGGTGTGCCGTGTGCATTTAACCTATGTTAAGCTGCTGTTATGTATACATGAGGAAATACTTATGTGTACTTCGCTTCATATAAATTGTAACACACACTTATTTACTTTGAGTCGCTTTCGCAGTGCGCCGAATGATATCTCACGAATGAAAAGTGAAAGCAAATCTGTTTCCGGTCAAAAAGCAAGAAATTTTTATCAATCATTGAACAATCGTCAGATTAATAACTTCTGTTTGGCTTTTGGGGAAGCAAGTGCAATTAAAATTTAGTTCAGTTTTCGATTTCATTTGAGTTTGTTCACTTCCAAGAGTAACGGGTCCGATCAAATGTGTGAGACAGAAAAATGAAACCCATTGGAATACGAAGTCAGAAAAGAAGGACTCTGATGTTATCTAAAAAAATGTGAGTTTATATTATATCGCACGTATTATTTTAAAATTTTCGTGATTTTAAAACAAATTATTCAAAAATAGTTTGAGTTTAAATAATGAGAACTTAATGTATTAATTATTAACTGAATGTATTGATTTTACTTGCTGGAATATTATTGTAATTATAATTATGAGACCGGAAATGACCGCAACATATAATAGTCTAAAGCTCCTTTACCTGTAATGGTAGACAATTATTTTTATTATAACTTAAACTTATTTTAATATTACAAAATGTATAAGACATAAAATCGAATGAATTTTTTATTCTTTTACAAGATCTTCACATCGCTATTCCTTATAAATAAAAGTCCACTTTCTTCTTATTATTAAGTATAGTATAGTGATATTTAGAGTATATAGAACAGACTAAAAAATATCTCTTCCATGATCTGCCTTGAAGTAATACCAACCAGTACATTTGTTTTTTTCTTGAACAGTCGCTGTGATCAGACTGATTCCTTGTTATGGATTTTTTTTCTTGGCGTTAGGTAAAAACCATCGAAATCTGTAAGTGTGAGATTTGAATCCACCAAAACCAAAACCACTTCTTAAGAATAAGTTTTTAACGACAGCCATCAGACTGAAAACGACTTCCGACTGAAATAATATTTTAGTAAAAGAAAGTGAAAGATAAAAAGTTTAGTATTTAAATTTCCAAATATATCTCGCTTAGAAGTAAGAACGTAGTTTACATTAATTATAATAATGAGTATTAAAACAAGGATTAAGACTCTTTAATAGTCTTAATAAATTGTTATATATAATTTGCTATAGCATCTATAATAGTGTGAAACATGATTGATTCCTAATAGATTCATATTCTTAGCTATTGATATAACATCATTTTTTTAAATATATACTAAATATATACTCTTTTATTATTAATCCTTATTAATATATATTTGAGATATATACACATAATCATTTAGATTTATTGAATAAAACCAATCCTTATATGAACATTTGAACTTAGTACAAATATTATTCACATAATTTACAATGAAATTAGTTATAAAACAAAAATATTTGTAGTTAAATTTTAATATATGTTGTGTGGATATCATTTGGGATATGATGGTGTCGAAACTTTGATTAAATTTAAGTGCTTTTCAATTATTCTTTTGATCGAATATACTTAAAAAAATTTAGAATATATCATAAATTTCTTATGACGCGAACAGTTTTTAAACAAATTATTTTTACAAAACACTTATTACTTTACTTTGTTACTTTTATTATATAAGAAATCTTTTACTTTATATGTGTTTAATAACATTTACATATTCATTTTAAATAAAAGGACTAATTTCCTTCCATATTAGAACTGTGAAACAGTTTCATTGCATATTTTTAGGAACTCGCATAAACACTTAGTACTCACAATAGAACACTGAATAGTTTTGAATAGCTTTAAATAAATTTCAAGGAACTTCAATTGCTACAGCTAATAATAAACTAACAAATTAATAATATTTAACAATTTATAAATACTCATTAATAATTTCTAAGTTTTACTTTCTTTTTATTTATTTGCTTATTCATTTATATAAAGCAGAACCATTCCTAATCAAGATCCATTATATTTGAGGTAAACTTCTTATTAATTAATTTCTACATTTATTTGTTTAGTTATTTTTTATAAGATTAGATTTATTAGATACATTCCCACTCTCTTAATTTACACAATTATACATTTAAATCGCTAATAGCTCAGCACTTAATTTCTTTTCCTATACAAAATATTTGAGGTAATTTTGTTTAACGCAATTTATCCACAAACATAAATATATGTTTAGTTAGTTATGTTAAGTCTTTTCCGAGTTAGTGCATCTGGGCACTTTTACTCTTTGATAGCTGGGGGTACTACAGGGTCCCACCTATCTCATTGACTAATTTATGTATTCCTTATAAGCTTCATGATTATTCAGTGATTGATCTAAGATCTGCGTACCGCTCCGTACGGTTAGTAATTACTCTGAGATTAGATAGTACTAAGTAGGGCAGCCTGTCGGTTGTCGCATATAGCTTCAGAGCTCTATCCCGTATATATTTTTTGACCGAGCCTGACTTTAAGCAACTTGTAGCTTTTGTGTAGTGGACTCAGCAGCTTTGCTATATGCGACACACCAGCTTTCACAGATCAGCTTTCTGTTCTTCACGCTAAGGTTGTTGTGTTTGAAAACTGGTTGTAAGCAGTCCAGTGTTTTTGCGCAACTACTTCTTTTGACTGGTAAATATATGTTTAAAGTCTCTATATTTAATTAAGTTAGTTTTCTAACTGAATTTAATAGTAATTTATTTTCTGAAGTTAAAATAATTTTATATCTTATGTATATAATTTTTAATAATCTTTTAATTATTTCATTAGTATTTATCCTTACATTTAGATTTTTTACATTTAGCCATTTAGGCTTCAGCAAACCTGCAGTTCGTGTGCTTACTGGAGTACTAACGGGGCACTGTGCCATTGCACCTATGCTCCAACAGTGGCGAATTCTAACAAGAGGATTATGCAGGAGTTGTCAAGATGAAGAGGAGGCAGAATCTATCAACCACTTCCAGGACTTCAATCGATTTCAATGTCTCGAGGATCGCTTTTTCACTGAAGAGATAACGAAAGCAAACTTATCGCATCTTAAGGTATGTGTACTATTCCTAACTACTTTTAAGGACACTAAACTGGTTTTATTACGGTCTTATGAAGTTAATGCTTGGTTCGGTTAGCCAACACTACTTACATAAGTGCGACACTTCTCTTCTATTTTCCAACACCCTCTTTTATTCTTGGTATAATTGTTCAAATTGGAATTATCACTTATTTTTTCAATTCAGTTGTTTAGTTGAGAATATAAAACTAAACATGCAAAAATTAATAATGGTTCTCTACATCTTAATCTGTTGGTGTATACCCAAATAAAAGTTATTACAATGTCAATGGAAACATATTAAGTTAATCTTAGATGGGATATTATTATAAGAGGTTTGATCTTAGCTATAGCTTAGCACCAATAATTTATTTAGTAGTGTAATAGCTGTTCCCAGCATGTATATATTTAGGTCTTAACTTAGACCACAACAGCAATTCAAACTCAAAAACGTTAATCAGCTGTTAATACGGAAATGCGCGATTGAAACGGAACCTAGAAGGGTTTCTTGTCGTCCCCCGTCCCATTAACCAAAAATTTTAAACGCATACTCTTTGTTTATTATATTAATTCTTTATTGAGAAACGCCACTGCATCCGCTGCCACTGATTGTTGACTTAGGCTCTGCTACTGCTGGCTAACGCCAGTGTTGCTGCTGATGGCTGACCTTTCTGGCGCGAAAAACAGTTCTGCTTTGATCGACAAGTCATATTTCAAAAATCATTTAAAATATTCCACTTCAAAACTTTGCTTAGAATTAAGGCACGTTTTAACTCTTGGCTGGAGGATCGCAAAATTGAGTTTTTATTGCAAGCATGTGCAGCAGACAAACGGTCTTCGTTAATGCAATCACATTTTTTCACATAAAGTCTGTTCACTTAGAATTTTTTCGTATATTATTCATTATTTGAATTTTCGCTGACGTTAATGGATTAATTTCTATTTTGTTTTTCTTAAAACGTGCTTAACTTATCTCAGTCTCTGCTAAAAAAAAAAACTGTTCTCCCGTCTGCCCACACTTTTTATTCAACACCTCCGGTCATCACTCTCACCAAAAATAATTTCCCTCGCCACAAAATAATTTCCCTGTTGCCATATAAGTCTTATAAAATATTTATTGTCGGCCGACCCGACTTCAACGACACCCTATTGAGGGTGCCTTCATAACAAGTTCTTAGTTGTGGTATAGATTGAGGAATATTGATTTAAAAATTTTATTAATAATTTTAGAATAAGTCGGATAATATATGGATCTCTAGAATTTCTTATAAATATTTATTGCCGGCCCGACCCGACTTCAACAACACACTATTGAGGGTGCCTTCACAACAGGTTCTTAGTTGTGGTATAGATTGAGGAATATTGATTTAAAAATTTTATTAATAATTTTGGAATAAGTCGGATAATGTACGGGATCTCTATAATTTCTTATAAAATATTTATTGTCGGCCGACCCGACTTCAACGACACCCTATTGAGGGTGCCTTCATAACAAGTTCTTAGTTGTGGTATAGATTGAGGAATATTGATTTAAAAATTTTATTAATAATTTTAGAATAAGTCGGATAATATATGGATCTCTATAATTTCTTATAAAACACTTTAACATATTTATTTATATTTATATTTCCTTTCTCTCAATTTATTTTAAATATAGTTTTAAGTTTTTTGTAAATTTCATCAAATCTTACTTTTCATTACATTAAGTTAGGTTATACCAGCGATGCCAGGGGGGTCAACTTAGGCCCAGAGGCACATTGTGCTGTACTTTTCATTATATTAAGCAATGGATCTTTCTTCACAGCGACACTTGAAAACGTGTGTCTTAATCTCTGCCACAATAAAGTTTTTCTAATTGGGTCAACTAGTTCCTATACATCTAGCATTTTTATACTGATAAACAATCCTATTCATATGAACAATTGCATATTAGAAGCATTTTATGGTAGTCAACATTCCTTATTCGTGCTAAACTTTCATCTAGTAAGAACATAATCTAGTATACTAATCATTGCATGGTAAAGCGATTACTTAAAAAACTATACGATTAGTTATGTTGAATAAACTCGGTTTTGAGTTAAGTTAACTATCATTTAACTACTAATTAATATCAGAAAATGATTTCTTATAAAAAAAGACTCTAAATAGCTGAATTAATGATTTTAATTTAATTTTTAAAAGATGTAAACATTTTATAATATTTAATAGTACACAACTCCAGTATGTGATTTAATCCAGTCTAAGTAACTGGTGAGACGAGTAAATGCTACTGGATAGCCCTTCTCACAACCATCTGCGGCACCAAATGATGTTAAACCAACTTGTACTCCGCTAGAAACCAACACTAGTGGGCCACCGGAATCGCCCTGGCAAGTAGACACTCCATCAGATGTATCAACGCATATGTTAGTAGGCAGAATGACTTTGCTACCGTAAGTCATAGCACATTTGGTATTACTGATAACCTCAAGAACAGCCCATTGTAAATCTTCGGTAACACTATTAATGCTATCACTTATACGTCCCCAACCGGAAGCAACAACAACGTCGCCAGTGTATAAGTCGTAAGAGTCGGCGATATTAGGCAATTTGACAGCTTGAATTCTATTGGAATAGGCAACTGATGGAATTCGAATTAAAGAAATATCATTTTGCAATATAGTTGGATCCCAATTTTCATGAATGATAATGTTATTGCTTGACACTGTATAAGTGGCTTCAGCAGAGGTTCGCTCCGTGGCACCCAAATAGACGGTAACAGATTGTACGCTGTTTAAATAAATTATTTTAGAAAAAAGTTTATTTATTGATTATGGATCTATAATTTTCACTTACCCATCAGTACAGTGAGCAGCTGTCAGTACCCAACTGTTGCCAATTAGTGAACCACCACACCACGAAGAAGAGTAAAGATTCAGTTTAAGTGAAAGACCAACTTGATACGGAAATTGTCCTGCTCTGGCTTTTTCACCATTTGTAATGCGCCCTGTTGGTTCATCTAAGACGGGCATTTCAACATTGCGTGTTTGCAAGGTTCGAAATTCAAAGGCATTGACTGCAGCTAACGCCAAAATTAAAAATACCAAGGGCTTCATAGCTCTGCACTTACTCAAAAAGTTAAATGAACTGTCATATTATATTATTTGTTTTGGTCTTTTATATACTTATATTGTAAGCGGTCAGCATAAGAAGTTTACTAAGATAAGATACATTTAATTAATTTCTATCATTTTAATTTTTTTTAATTTTTTAGTTATTAAAATATTTGGCAATGATAAGAATTCAATAACAAAAGTCTTTGAGAACTTTCAATAGCTTATAAGGGCTAATTAATTTTTTATCTCCAACTAATCGGTTGCTTCTGTAATATTAATGTAATAATATATTGAGTATATAAGAGCATTTATGTGGTACTTTATTTAAATTATCTTTAAACTTTCACTCTTCTCCACTCTTGATAATTATCCACTCAAACTAAACAATTACCACTTTGCCAATCTGTAACAGGGTGATCTCCATACATCATCACTTAAGTTCCGAACAATTCTATGCTATCTTCGTTAGAAAAAAATTATACACATCCGGATGTGTTCTCTTTTAGAAGAAAACGCATTTGGGACTGGAAAATAAATTATGCGTTTTCAATTTATTCATTATTCTAAATATAAAAACCATACATTATCTCCAGTACCATGTCTCTGCATCGGTTCTTAAGTCCTGAGAGAATTGATATTTTTTTCATAAACTTGCTGAATGTCCGGGTTATTTTGGTGCATATGAGTATTTGCTTTAAGTAACTGAAACCATTAAAATAATCATCAGGATTAAAATTTGCTGACAATATACTTGTTGATTCTACCTATAAAGTCAACTATAAAGTCAAATTATCTCCCTTCTTCATTGAACTGCCTTTTGCACCTTATATTTTGAAATAAGATTAATGTAATCAGCATCACAAATCAGTATGCTCTCCCTAATTGTACTTGTAAAGTTAAAGTTAGTAGGTAATCCTAATGGAAAAATAAGTGGTTTTTAATTCTTCTTATAAAAAAATACATCGTTGAAGTTATTGTGATCCTTACATTACTTTATTATTAGTGTTATACTATCCAACTTGATGTTCCACAGGTTCTTGAAGAAGATTGTGGTACACTTTCTTAACAAATGCAGCAGGAGATAAAGTAGTGAGGGATCTTGATATTAAGAAATGGTTCTTTGAGGAAGCCAATTAAAATTTGGAACTTTTACACTACTTCACCAATATATATTTCAATCTTTTTCAATAACACATTTAGAGTACATCTACTCACAAATAATGATCAAAACTAAATGAAAGATCATCTCTTACTTCTATTCTCTATGCTACAATTTTAATACCAACGACTTTTCTGAAGTCATAATTTAAATAAGCTTTATATTAGTTTTGTCACCCATTTAATAATGATCTTAACACATCTTTATCACGTTTTTATCCATTAATAAAGATAAAAGATAATTTTTGTTTCGATTATACTTAGTTATTGCATATGTATTATGTTTGCTTTCTAAAATGTTAGGCAGGCAATTCTAAGTGGTCTGCAGATACCTGAAATTTTGGAGTATTAACCTTTATAATGACTAATTATAATCCTTTATAACTTCCTCTACTTTCCCAAGTGGTATATTCTTATTAAACGCAAATATGAAAAACTAGAGGAACATAACTCTTATATCTAAATAACCCAAACCAATTATTTGGCTTTTTTAAATTCAAATTTTCTTGTATTGCCACAGAACTACTGAAACGTTATAAACAGTTTATGTTATATTGTTTAAGTACCGATAGATGACCAGAGTCACCATTCCATGCAGATTTGCTATGGTGCTAATGCCAACCATTTTATTAATGATTACAACGAAATAGTACGGACTGCAACCTGATTTGCTTTATAACTGGAACTTCAATATAACATAACGCGGAACTAAGAAATAAATGTTGCAGATGCAGAGATTTGAAAAATTAATATCTTGTTTATTAAAATGAGTTTTTATTTATTAAAAATATTTATTTTAAACCAGTTTTAGCATGAATCCAATCCAAATAAGCAGGAACACGAGTAAATACACCTGGCCAACCCTTTTCACAACCCAATGCAATACCGAACGATGTTGCGCCTATTAAAATGTTTTGGTCATCTTGTTTAAGTACCAATGGACCACCAGAGTCGCCATTGCAGGTAGATTTATGACCTTTGGTACTAATACAAATCATTTTCTCAGTGATCACACCGAGATAGTAGGTACTACAAGTCTGGGGCTTCAAAACTGGAACTTCAATGTATCGAAGAACTGGAGAAACAGCAGTTGCAGAGTCACTATCCTTGCCCCAACCACTAGCCCAAACCAAATCACCAACATAATCACCATCATTGTTCTTTGGTAAAACAGCAGGCTCAGTATGTTCTAAAATAATGAATAACATTTAGGACTTGATTCTAATATAAAAAGTCAAACATTTTTACCATTGAACTGTATCTTTGCAGATAATCTTATGAGGGCAATATCATTTGTTAAAGTAGATGGATTCCAGCCTTCGTGAACGATGATATTTTTACTAGTAACAAATATTTTTTGCTCAAACTTTTCATTTTCTCCACTGAGTTTTGTGACACCAACAGTAACGGTAACATTATGTGCTACATCAGTGCAGTGAGCAGCGGTTAAAATCCATTCATCTGAGAGGATGCTGCCGCCGCAAAAAGCATAACCACCTTCCATACCTAACCTTAAGGCAGCTTGATAAGGAAACTGTGCATCAGAAGCAACTTCACCATTTGTAATACGTCCTTCCAAGTCCTGGTAAGGCATAACCTCAACCAGTGGTTGAGTGCCAGCCGACACAGCAGCTACAAGCACGCTCAATGCAATCAGAAGTTTCATTATGAAGCGAATTATATTCGACTACTATCCTAATATGAAACTTCTACCTGTATTTATATATCTTTAAGAAATAGTATTATCTTATCCATTTTAAATTAATAATATTTTCTATTGTATTATCATTGAATTTTTAACATAATCGCGGTGGCCTATGGTACGTAAAAAATGTCTGTGATAAGACATTTTTCATTGATTGAATGTAGTAATAAAGCTTCAACAATAGATTTGTGCACTTTTCAATATTGAGATTATATATACTATATGTATTATACGTACTTTATGAAATGTCATTTCAATAATATAATAATATATGGAATAGGTACTCAATCAGTGCAATATATTGTCATACTTGACAAGTGAAGTTTTTTGTGAGCCATAAATTTGAATTGATTTAATACCTTTTATCTAACTGAACTCATAAAAATTTAATCTTTTTATTAGCGTACTTTTCACAGAACTTTTAAATTCTAATTCTTTCAAAGTTTGTCTAGATACCCGGTATTATACTTTCCATTTATTGCTATTTTGCACTTTTTCTATGTCATGTTATCGGGTTTTTAATTTTAATTTGATTAAAGACAATGTACCAATGCAATATTATTTTGATAAAATTTTTAGGTTTTTTTATTTACTTCAACAAATTCTAGAAAAGATTTATTGAAAGGATAATATTAATAAGCTACTCGTATAATCCATTTCATTTGAAAAACTTTCCAACGAATTAAATTGGTTGATTGTTTCCGGAAGTAACGTATGGTGCCGTTTCTTTATCATATACTCAGATATACGATTCTATGTTATACATCCAACTTGCACAGTTAATATAAGATTTTCCTTGGAAGATGTAAATTTGGAATCTTCGCCAGCTCACACACATTAGTTTCTAGACATTCATAATTTGAAATGACACTATCTTGCCAGTTCAGGACTTTTGCAAAGAAAAACTTATTCACTTCCTTATGTTTTTGTAGAAAAGCTATAAAAATAATTAAATATAATGTATGAAATACACCAGCAAAAATAGTTATACTATCTTCAAGACTTTATATACACAGACTACTTCTGATGGGTATTTGGCAATTCTCGAAACACCTGTAAGTTCAGCCAAAAATCAAATTAATTAAAAACAATAAAAAAATTTTTTGTTGTTACAATTCATTACTGTTCGATAAAAACCTTTATATTGAAAACAATAGTTCATATTATGATTTTAGTTACTTTCTTCAAAACGGACGTTAAAAATCAATTTAATATAACAGACCATGCAACTGATCTTATATATATTGGAGATACAAATATCCCTACGTATTCCTTTACTTCATAGATATTAATATATGTTATATATAAATATTTTACTTGGGAAAAGAGCAGCAGCCAGAATCTTCGAAAGTGAAATAAGAACAGAATTGGAAATTAGAAAAGAAAATGATGACCCTGAAAGGGATGGAGTAACAATGTTGGACAAGATCTGAAAGATATTAATGTCACTAACTGGAAAATAAAAGCCAAAAATAGAGAAGAATGGAGAAATATTGTACAAGCTTATACAGTCTATATAAGACATGGACTGTATAGCTATGGATGACAATATCTGCTTCATCTACTACTTCTAATTCTGCTCTCTTCTTAAGTGTACTCTAAAAATTATATCTCTATAAAGTGTAACCGGACATTAAAGTAACAAGAGACCTGTGCTAGACATTAATATTGCGGTTTTAAAATTTACGAGATATTTTGACAGTTTTTTTAATAAAGGAATTTATGTGTTGAATTAAGTTAGATGAAGTGCCCCAAAGTACAATTCAGAAAATTATCAGTTGTAATATATCAGATTAAATTTCACAATTGCACTTTACTGTTTGAGTGATGTATATCTTTTTACAAATCATTCCTAATATATGGTTTTTATGGGTTAAAGTCTAACTTGTTTATTTTCAATACGTTTCACTAGCGAAAGAAACATCACATAACTCGAGAAAGCCCA